GTCCCTGGTAGCTTTGGACAATAGACCATCGTCGAACCCTTTACCATTTTATTTGCCTGACAATACAAATTATCCTCCAAACTTATCATCACCACCCTGGCCTTTGAATGACGGATGAATGATGGATGAATCACTTGCAGAATGCCATCAACTGCTGATAACTTCTTTTTTTTTGAAAAAATATCTCAAAGAACCGATTCAAAACCAGTTTGGAGTGGTATGAAATATTGAATAGTTTTGATGGTTTTGTATAGAGCAATATATTAGCAGAAAGAAATCTCCCACTTTCTGACCTGTTACCCAACAATCATACCCCCATCTACTATTCTGAAGCGATAAATCCCCATGGGTCCCTTTGAAACATCATTTGTTGAAGAAGGGGGAAGATACATCACTGATCCGAGGGTTTCCGAAGTGCTAGGAGATGTGACATGAAGTGTAAGGTTCATTCGAGGTTGCTCACCCGAAAACCCGATTCAAAGCCCAAAGTCCCAGAGAGTTCGTCCTCAATTCGGTTGCCTTCACGGTTTCAAACTCCGATAGGACTAATCTCCCAATCGGCAGAGGTTCCGCTCCAGATGTTTACGAAAAAATTAAAAAATATTGATTTTTTTCAGGGTACACTGTAGCCGGGCCGGTTGAATGACATGACCGACGAGAATGACATTGAAAGAGATGTTGTTCTTAAAACTGCAGAACTGTTCCGGTAATCTCACATGACAGCGATTGGAAATGATGATCGAGTAGGGACGAATGGTTGGGCAAATGGGCGAGTCGTCCAACTTAGCTGATTTCCCAGCGGACTTTCATCGGTCACTCACCTTTGCAATGTTCAGCGAGATATCCGACAAATGGATTATGCAAGCATTTGTTGGTGTTCGCTGCACGAGCAGGTTTTCTTTCACGACAAAAAGCCAATCGAGATTGGATCAGAATATGGTCCGAGATGTAAGAAATCCTGAAATCAATCTGCATGAAGGACTGCGGACGGGTCATTCGGTCTGTACGACTTACACGGAGTCCTTGTGATTGAAAGATCCCTCCTCAATGTCTGGGATATCGGGAACACCAGCGAAGCCAGAAATTTTCCGTTGAAGGCAGTAGTTAGCTTCACGAGCAATAGCTGAAATTCAAATGAATAAGTCTGATAAATTTGAACCACCCCACTTGCACGACCAAACCAGGTAATCCCAAACCCCAGATGGGTCGGGAAACGGAACCACCCTGCCTACAAACATCTGTTTTCTTCTATGAGTTGTTTACACTTGGGAAGCTGCCCTCGCCCCAGCCGAAACAGCTCCCCTCCTCTCCTGGGTCCCGTTTCTCTTACCATTTTTAAACGAGCGTCAAAAGTGCAAGATTAAACTGTCGTAGCATCTTTGGCGAAAGGGCTGCTCAAATTACAACAAAAGAAGAATCGATCTGTTTAGGGAACACATTCCTGTGCGGTACCACACCCGAACCCAGTCTAGCCTTTCAGGTGACCTTGCGATTGATTTTCAGAAGCACATTTTCTCTTTAAAGTGCAACACCAAGAGTTGAATTGGTGTTGAATTACGGGTAAAATTGTAAAAAGCCCCAAAACACTTACCCTTTGTGATCTCGGTACGGATACACCTCTGATCCTCTTCTGGAGTGGATTTCAGTGCCTTCAATGCACCAGATGCGAACTGAAAGCCAGACAGAACTTATCCTGTGCCAAGACCTTCTAGTACCAAAAGTCACCTACCGTTCTGCAAATAGTGCAGTCCCTAAGTGGTCCATGACGATCCCATGCCACTTGGTTCAGATCATTCTGATTAAGGACACAACGATCATTCTTATTACCCTCATCGATGCTTGGCGAGAAACATGCCAGTGCTGCTCGTCTGAAATTTTTCTTCTGCTACTTTTAGTACATTAATTACATTAATTTCATTCTAATTTATTTGATTACTCGAATTTTTTCTATTTGATTCAAATTTTCTGTTTTTATTTTAATTTTTTCCATCATGCCATGTAATATGTTGATATCTGCCGATTAAAATTCTGTAGAAAAATTCAAAATTTTCCTGTTTCAATGAGACTTTTAGAAAGAGCCCACTGTTTATCTCCCGTTCGCGAAGAAACGATCCATGTAGGTTGCAATCACAAAGAAAAAAGCGTTTACCCACCTGCCATGCTCCCGAATCTCGTTTTCGTAAAGCATATAGTTCTGATCGATACTCTGTTTCATACATAATAGATATTGGCCAAAAGTCTCCCGGGTAGCTGCTGGTGATGAGCAATCCTGTGCCAGAACAGAGACCACCTGCAAAAAAGATATACCCATATACCAGTTTGATCTTTAGTTTGGGAAAACACTAGTCCTGTAATAATAAACTATATCTATGGAACCAGCAGCTGCTAAGGCACCTATATTTGGTGTTTTTAAGGATTCCAAGGGATAATTCACTGCTCCCGGATCACTGATGGGTTAACTTCCATATCACCTCTGGAACTTCATTTTCTCTCTGGGAATGAGGTTTTAGGAATGAAATCGAAGCTGGTTCCACTGGTTAAACTGAAGTCGGTAAACGATGAGACCGGTTGTCTGTGGGTAGGCAAAAGTTCGCTATGAAGCCATATTTCATATCTGCGGACGAGTGTGGTTAATGGATACTGGCTGGACATGCATATGGTCGATTGCTGTCAGCCGTACTCAAAGTTGCTATGTAATAGTTATCGGTAGAGTCGGAAATTCAAGAAAATATCGAAAAAATTATCCATGAGATTTGCTCATTGTGGGTAGGCCTTATTGTTTACCAACAACACCACTTTACACCATTTTATCCTCAAATCCCAGCCATCATTTTGAACTGTCAGGCACTCAATGATTAACCCTGTGCTCCTGCCAATCTAAACAAGTACATTAATCACATAACCGCCCAAGATGGACGGAATGCTTGCTGATAGGGTTAGATCCAATCTTCGGAAGATCAAAGCAATGGGTCTCTTGTCAGAAACATATTTCAAAAACACATATCGAACTTTTAAGTATCCCCTTGCTCGCTGCGTAGCTGGTTTTCAAAAAATACAAACGCATTGAAGAAAAACTCACGACAAGTGCAGAGAGAGCGACGATCCGCATCATCTGAAATTCGTTTGAATTAATTGAGGAACGGGAAAGAGCTCCCGAATATTTCGAATCAAAAAATAGGTGACAAGGTGAAAGGTGCTCGAGCACAATCAGATTAGCTATGGTGAGGGACCCGAAAATCTTGGAGGTGACAACTAGGCTGGAGTCAAAAGGGAAAGGGCTTCCTTCCGGGTAGTCAAGCACTTTTTATTCGAACAGCAACTAGGTACCATAACGATGATGCCATGATAAGGTGCAAGATACATGACAAGAGGAATCGAAAGAACGGACGCATTGATCAAGGTTTGTAAGAAGTTTTGATTTAGAAAGCAAGTAACAAGTCACTTCAGTGATTAGCTAAACAACTAAACAATGAATCTGTGGCTGTGAATCAAGGTGGGTCTTAAGGCCGACATGGTCAGAACGGAGGTGGGTGAATTAGATGTTAAGTAGTGGCTAGACAGAGTAGATTTGTCAGATAGACAATGACGACGATGGATTGTCGACACAATAGCATGAGTACCAATGCAGAGAGTACAGAACTGGTTCTCCTCAGAGATTGGAGATAGTCAGAGAATCAGCAAAGAAGGAGATGACACGGCGTTGACCGGTCGGTCGCGGGTGCGACGATGATGATATACCAAAGGACGTTCTTTCGTCAACTAGTCGGCGGAAATTTTCCAGAGCCCATCAAACGATGGTGCGAAGGGGGATGTGAAGAATGGAATAGAAGGAGGAGGGGAGGTTTCTTTATGAAGTATCGCCGTTATGATGTCTTTGTGATGAGAACGATAGCGAGCACCTCCACAAAGAAATACAAGGTTCTAAGGGGTCTAGCGCGCAAGAACCGAACTGATCGTCTCGTGTCCCGAAGAACCGCTACCGCCCACTCCCGCAACCGTCAGCCGTATAGAGGTGGATGACCCAAAAATCACTCCAGAGACAGAGATAACGGATATATTGACCAAGGACACGGTACAAACACAAACATTCACCCACAAACTACAGGTCTGCGCTTCGTTAAGGATCAGGATGGGTCGGAATAGCTACCAGCACAGATCATAGTGTCGCCCTCAGCCAGTTTTCTCCTTTTATAGATAGGCGACGGTAACGATACCGGAATGAGTCATCGTATCCAAGGGCATCAAGACATCATCGAATAGGATTAGTCAGTGATGTCATAAGTGGGAATACATAAACAGAATTTTAGCCTAAGCGTAGGAACAGGTTGGTATATATATGCCTCTCAGAAACTCTAGAGAGGTACCTAGTTACAATATTCTTGTGCCGTGCGAGGTTGTTAGGTGGAACTTTTATTAATCACAACGGCCTAACGTTTCGACGTTCTCGTCGTCTTCAGTGGCCTAAAGCAATTCGCGACATTTGCACAGTATCCAAAAAGCGCACTACCCCATGGCGAATATGACAGCGAATTCAAAACCCATAATTTGAAACATAACTCACCAAG